ATTGGTTGATGCACGTGACAGGCCTTAAGCCTAACAGGAGGAATAAGAAGAAGACTTGTAAAACTGGTTGTGTTTTACATACTACCTGTGCAATCTTGGGAGACTGTTTGAGATTTTACATAACACATGTACAGTACTGTGCAAAAGTATTAGGACAAGAGGTTTTTTTTTTCCATTTTATGGGGCTAATTCTTCCATGCCATTACAAAATGTAAATTTCAACACTTTGGTAATACTTCACTGATCCCTGTTGACAATTGAATGAGCCAGGGTGAGAATACTTATCATTCTTTAAAATTTCCATATACTTGTACCAATAACATGTCATAAGGGTTCTGTTTGAATGAATATACTTGTCAAATATAGGGTCTGAAATAACTGTCATGGTACCCATGCAGTATCTTAACTATATAGAAAGAAGCTAGCAAGGAGCTAGCATATGTACCGGTATATGCTAGAATAAATCAATTTAACAGCACACCAGAAATAAACCTTGATAAAAACAATGTTTAACACTATATATTAAGCGTAGAGAATTGTCAGTACAGCAGAGAGTTGGTTGAACTCTCCGACAAATAACTGCAAACTTAAAATGCTCCCCAGACACTGTAAAGTACACCCAAGATCATGAGACCGAGACAGATAAATTTGAAAATAGGAAAGGAAGAGACAGAACACCTAAACTAAATGATACTGATGTTGAGTATCTTCGTTTATGTAGCCTTCGGGACAGAAGGAAAACTGCCACTGATCTCAAGCATGAGATAAACGACCATGTACCAAATGACAGAAAAGTGTCCAGACCTACAGTGTCAAGAAGACTCAGCAAGAATGGAATATTTAGTCGTTCAGCAATTTAAAAACCTTCACTTCGATCACCAAATATTATCACAAGACTGAAATTTATTAAAAAGTACAAAAAGTGGACTGCTGATTATTGGAAAAGGGTGTTATGGACGAGTAAGTTCAAGTTTGAAATATGTGGTTCAAAGCGTAGGTTGTACATCCGGCATAAGAAAGGTGAAAGACACTTACCTCAATGCATGGAACCTAACATGAAGCACGGGGGAGGCAGTGTGATGATTTGGGGGTATTTTTCTGCTGAGGCAACAGAAGATATTTGCAAAATAGATGGAATAATAGACCAGCGCAAGTACCATTAGATACTGATCCGTCATGGTATACCCAGTGGTTTGCGTATTATTGGTAAAGGATGCTAATGCCAAGAAGATAATGACCCCAAACACTCATCCAACATATGCAGAAATAAAATCCCTAAGGACATTTTGATTAAATATGTTGAAACAATGCCTGAAAGACTGTTATTAAAGCAAAAGGGGTACACAAAATATTAACTGTTTGCTGAACTCAAACATTTCCACTGAGTTTATGTTGTACTAAATATGAAGATTAATAACATTTTGATGTACCCCCTGTGATTTACCTTCCATTGTTCTTTGAAAGTAGCCTGAAATATAATTTTTGACTTTGTCCTAACACTTTTACACAGTACTATATAACTCCAGGAGACGAGTGGAGTTTTTACATTTAACCTATATAACTTCAGGAGATTAGTTTAGTTTTACATAGTCCTGTCCAACGGCGGAAGACGTGTTCAAGTTTTACTAGAACTATTACCATCCCACAGACTTTAGTCGTACTGTGAGGTAGTCCTGTCCAACGGCGGAAGACGTGTTCAGGTTTTCAGAACTATTACCATCCCAACACACTTTAGTCGTACTGTGAGGTAGTCCTGTCCAACGGCGGAAGACGTGTTCAGGTTTTCAAGAACTGTTACCATCCAACACACTTTAGTCGTACTGTGAGGTAGTCCTGTCCAACACCGGAAGACGTGTTCAGGTTTTACTAGAACTATTACCATCCCACACACTTTAGTCGTACTGTGAGGTAGTCCTGTCCAACGGCGGAAGACGTGTTCAGGTTTTCAAGAACTATTACCATCCCACAGACTTTAGTCGTACTCTGAGGTAGTCCTGTCCAACGGCGGAAGACGTGTTCAGGTTTTCAAGAACTATTACCATCCCACACACTTTAGTCGTACTGTGAGGTAGTCCTGTCCAACACCGGAAGACGTGTTCAGGTTTTCAAGAACTATTACCATCCCACAGGCTTTAGTCGTACTGTGAGGATCTAACATGTCCTGGTAGTTAGAGCGCTCGACTCATAATCTGTGGGACCCAGTTTCGAATTCAATCACCTAACATACTTGTCCTTTCAGTCGTGAGGGCATTATAATGTGTCGGTCAGTCTCAATATTCGTGTAGGGTAGCCCAAGTGTTGGTGGTTGTTGGTGTTAACTAGCTGCTTTCCCTCTTGTCTATCATTTCTAAATTAGGGACGGCTAGCGCAGATAACCCTCAAGTACTTTTACACGAAGTTCAACAAACAAACCAGGAGTGATTTTAAGACTATATTTTTAGGAATTTTACTGACTTTTCTTGCTGTGTATTTTTGAGGCGAAAAGGTTTGCTTGTTAATGCTGGTCCAAGAGTGGTCGAAGAAAAGTTTATCTTCTATTGTTATGTTATATGTTATTAGAGGCTCAGAAATTAAGCATTTCTTGAGCTGAAATATCAAGGTATATAAGGTATTAGAACAATGCTTAATATATTACTACGATTAAAGGTGTTTTAGTGCTACTGTAGAAGCAGTTTATGCTTTGGGAATATATCTTTACACGTAAAGAAAACAAGTCCCACCTCATTGCGTGTGTGTAGTGCTCGTTAAAACAGTTATATCAATTTCGACTGTTAATTGTTTCTACTATTACATTTTTATTCATTGCAGTTACAGAATTAAACTATGCCGTGCTGCACTTTGAGATATATGTTTACATTACAAAGCATTCTATCAGTATGTTCTGTTTTACTGGAATTAATATATTTGTTGCTGAAACTATAATGATATAGTATCATAGTGTGTGTTGTCAGAGTTAAAGTATTGGTTGCTATAGTTACGAAGTAGTAGTACGGCATTATAGGATACTAGTGTTAAAACCTGTGTTTGTATAGTATCATCTTGTGTGTTGCCACAGTTATAGCCTTTTTGTCTGTAGTCATACTATGGTGAAGTATGTTGCTATGTGCCTAACTTGTCCTATTATAATTACTGAATAATTTATCGTTTTGAAAGTTTTTGCAGGGGGAAATTCTCATTACAGTAACATTGATTCGTTGCTGAGTTTTGTCAGTTCTTTGTATACTATATGAAAGCTGTTGCCACTATAGAGAGATAGAGTTATCTGCTGCTGTGCTGTTTAAGTAAAATTACAGTATTTTCTTCCGTATACCATGTTCGTATGTTATCGTTCTATATGTTGTTTGGATAATTTATGTAACTCTTCTGTGTTATCAAGATTATTCTGTCTCTAGTTTTAAAACCAGACTTATCAAGCGTTGCAGATATTTCTTCCTCTAGATTTATAGCCTTCTGTTTCAGACTTGCAAGATTTTTGTCTTTAAATTTAAAACCTTCTTGATTAGAATTATAAAGGCTTTTGCTTATAGATTTATAAAACCTTTTTTTATTGGAGCTACAGAACCAATTGTGTTGTTACATTTAATACATTTTATCTTAGAATTGCAAATCTTTTTTGTGTGTAAAATGAAAATGGTTGCTGGGATTAATCTCATAGAATAACAGTGAAAAGTGTAGTTCGATAATGGGATTAGTCTTATAGAATCATAGAGACAAGTGTAGTTCGATAATGGGATTAGTCTTATAGAATAACAGGGACAAGTGTAGTTCGATAATGGGATTAGTCTTATAGAATAACAGGG